AATCAAAGTGAATGTACAATGTTGTAGCCACCTGCCCTTTAAAAACAAAGCCAACATTGTACAATATGCACTTTTTTAAAGTTTTATTTTATGTATTTTGAGAGGGAGAGAGAGAGTGTGTGCGTGTGTGAGAGAGCGGGGCAGGAGCAGAGAGAGAGGGAGAGAGAGAGAGAATCCCAAGTGAGGCCTGAACTCCCCCACCGTGAGATCATGACCAAAGCTGAAGTCAGATGTTCAACTGACTGAGCTACCCAGGCACCCCAATTTGCACTTTTTTCATTATATAGTCATCCTAACCACCATTTTTTAATGGTTACATAATAGCCCACCAAGTGGATATGTTACAGTATCAAACTTAACCACTATGCTGTTGTTGAATATTTGGGTCTCCCTCTTCTTTTTTGGCTATAAGAGATAAATGACCATCTTCATTCACACAGCTTTCCCATATTTTGGATTGGCTTATTTCCTTAGGTTAGATTACCAAGAGTAATAGATACATGAGGTAAAAATCTTTCTTCCTTCAGCTCAGATCTGGGAGGAAAATGTATACATGTATATATTATGTTTCAATCTCTCTTCCCATAATTATTAGTGACGGTAAATATTTATTCATGTTTATTTACTATTTCTTTCCTCTTTTGTGAATTAGTTGTTCATGTCTTTTGTACATTTATCTAAATTTTAGTGCTTTAAAAAATCAATTATAGCGGTGCCTGGGTAGCTCAGTTGATTAAGCATCTGACAGTTGCTTTCGGCTCAGGTCATGATCTCACAGTTGGTGAGATTGAGCCCTATGTCAGGCTCTGCACTGACAGAATGGAGCCTGCTTGGGATTCTCTTTCCTTTCTCTCTGCCCTGCCCCGGCTTCTTGTTCTCTTGTTCTCTCTCTCTCTCTCTCTCATAACTAAATAAATAAACTCAAAAAATCAATTAGAGTAAAGAATTTAACCATCTGTAATATTTGCTGTAACTTTTTTTTTTGCCTGTTTTAATTTTGGTAATATTTTATCTGAAAAAGTAATAAAATCTTATTCCAGCAATTTTGCAAACTAGAAAAACACATTATTAAAAATCATCAATAATTCTGCCACCTTAACATAGCCACTATTATCATTCCCACTATTTTTTTTAAATGTGTGTGCTCTATAAAGTTGTAATTGCAGTGTGCATACAACTTTAAAACCTGTCTTTTATTAACACATAAGCATTTTTCTGTAGTGCCCTATAGTCTTCATAATCATCATTTAAAATAATAGCATAATATTCTCTGGAGTAGATTCATCATTTCCTTATTATTACATATTCATATTATTTCTATTTTTTTGTTTCATAAATAACACTGATAAACACTTACACACAAATGGTTTTTTCTATATTTTGCATTATTTTCTCAGGTAGTATTCTCAGTAGTAAGATTTAAGGCCATCAATCCTTACCCTTATCTCTAAAGTAGATAAAGGGCATTAATACATGTTAGCTATCAAATTACTTTCTTTTTTTTTTTTTTTACTAGTTTTCTTTTTTTTTTTTTTTTTTTTTTTACAAATAGTTTATTGTCAAATTAGTTTCTACATAACACTCAGTGCTCATCCCCAAAGTGCCCTCCTTCATGCCCATCCCCCCCTCCCCCCCACATCCATCAGTCCTCAGTTTTTGTCAGCATTCAAGAGTCTCTCATGGTTTGCCTCTCTCCCTTTCCCCCACCATTTCCTTTCTTAAGGGGAGAAACACTATTATCAGCCAAATGATTTTTAAAATTCTGGCTTAAAAAGAGGCTACCTAGTTGTTTAAATTTGCGTTTCTTTGATCAGTAGTGATGAACATTGCCCCATGTTTTCCAGTTGTTCTTAAACACCTTTATAAATTGTCTATTCATGCTCTTTACCCATACTTCTTATACATTATACTGTATAAGTGCCTTAGAAAATACAAACCTATCATACTTTGTCATATTTTTGGCAAATATACCCTTTAAGTCTGTGTTTAAATTTTGGTTTTTAAATGGCCACAAAACTTTTAAAAGTTATTTTGGTTTTAAAATTTTATACAGCTAAATTTGTTGATCTTTTCCTTTGGGAGTTTTTTCCTATTACTTCCTAAGCTTAGAAAAACTATTCCCCTTCAGAAGCCTGATAAATATCCATTCATTCTAGTTTTCTTTAATTTGCTTTTTTATATTTAATTCTTCAATCTAGCTGCCACTTCTTTTAGTTTATTACAGGAGATGAGGGTATAAATGCTACCAGCTGTCACAACATCATTTAGTGAACAATCCTTTCCATTCCTATTCACTTGCAAAGCATCTTTTATAATAGACTGAATTCTTATATATGACAGTCTCTTTGGGGAGCATACCATAATATCATCTGTCTAATCTTATACTAGTGGTACCAGTGTTTTCATTATTCTATTTTTGTATGTTTAATATCTAATAGCATTAGTCCCTCATCATTCTTCTTTTGAAGAATTTTCTTTGAAAAATCAGTTCTTTAGTTTCTGAATGCAATGTTTGCTGTCTTACCTCTTAAGATATCAATTTCTAGAGGGCAGGATTGGTTTATTTCCTTACAATGACTGCTAAGAATAATATTACTCGGTCAACAGTTATGAACGTTTCCCCCACTCTTTTAAACCCTTATTTCCAAAGTTTTTAAAAAGAGCATATCAATTTCACTGTAGCCATGCCAGCATGAGGATATTTTGAAGATGTTTTTTTTCAAAATTGGTCAGGGAAAAAAATATACCATGCCTCAATTTTTATATCTCTGCTTATTAGTGATGATAAACATACACTTGACATACAGTAGGTGCTTAATCAGTGCATGCTGGATGAATAAATGGCATGTATGAATCTATACAAGTATTTGGGGGGTGGAAAAATTTAAATAAATATTGTGGTTATAATGGATAATGCTGGCTAGATGTACATTGGTGGACTAAATGCTTGTAGTCCATCTGCAGAATGTTCCAGAGGTGCCAAGAACCCCCTAGAATTTGTACAAGAATTGGGGCAATCCCTAGAGACTCTCTATAATTTGTATTCACCACAGTGTCTGTTTCCACGTAGGATCAGCTGAAAGCTGTCTGAAACAGTTAAGAAAATACCCACGTACATGCATCCCAGAAGCAGCCACGATAGGTTCTAGATAGAGTATGCTTCATTTCAAAGCAAAACAGTGGGAAGTGGCAGGCATCTGGGTATTCCACTGGAAACTGACCCAGGCCCTGAGTTTAGATATATAAGATCTGGGGCACCTGGGTGGCTCAGTCAGTTGAGCGTCCGACTTTGGCTCAGGTCATGATCTCACAGTTTGTGGGTTCAAGCCCCGTGCCAGGCTCTGTGCTAACAGCTAGCTCAGGGCCTGGAGGCTATTTCAGACTCTGTGTCTCCCTCTCTCTTTGGCCCTACCCACTCATGCTCTGTTTCTGATCTTCAAAAATAAATATTAAAAATTTTCAAAAAAATCATAAAAAAATAAATACATAAGATTCTCCAGTGCCATGTGCAGAAACTAGATCTGTTTCACAGGATCAGGCGTTTTCCATGAAACAACATTTTTTTTCTTCCCAACTTGTTAAGCATAAGAGGGAATAGAGGTTGTTGATTCAAAAAGGCTGGGTTTCCCCACCTCTCTGCCCACCCTCCCCACCCCCTATCCCCACTCTGCCTTTCATGTGTGGTTTAAAGGAGAGAGAGGGTCATTTCTTTTGTCCTAGGAATCATTGCCTTTATTTTGAAAACTTATAGTAGAGAGAAGGCTAACAAAAGGTAAGCTGTTTCTCTTTGTTTTTAAGGCCATGTAAAACTCCTTATTAAACACTGGGTCTCTTAGCACCATCATCTCAGTAGTAGAGTCTAGTAGTAAACTTTCTCAATGACTTCTTTGGTCACGCACAAAATCTGCTGATTTGATGAAACAAATTCCATAATAGTATGTGAACCTTCGTAGGCTGAGGTTGTACTCAAAGTTTTATTCTGAAAACCAAAGTGCCATTTTCTCTGGACTCCAGAGCACCAAGGAGTATCAAAGTCATGGCCAACAATATGCACAGCTGGTGTGTGAAAGATGCAGCAGCAGTTAGTACCATCACTGCTTCATTTCACTCACCCAGCACAGTGATTGCTTCAGAGCTGTAATTCTTCCCCTCCAATATGTATGAAGTAGGACACACATAGCAAGCAAGCATATAAGAGGACAAATGCTGTCTCAGCAGTCCTTGTCAGACACAGAGTAGGGCTGTGTGAAACGTTTACATGAAACTCCAAAAGGACGACTCTAGCTCCAAGTAGCACCTGAGAACAGCTGTTTCACAAGCCTTTTCTTAGAGTGACACTGAACTCTCTCAGTTGGTTGCCACTATCCCTAGAGATGGCAGCATGAGTTTCCTTCTTGATTCTTCAGCCTTTTGTCTTAAATCTATTCTCGTCAATTTTCCACCTGTTTGAAAATCTGTTTGCCACTTCTTTCAGAACTAGCTCTAAAATTCACCTCTTCCAAGACTTCCATGATTAGTTTCTCCATACTGCTAAATCTCTTCAGTTCATACATATATTCAGTGGGTAAAAAAAAAAAAAAATTGAAGATGCTCCCTACTTATTCTAGTTTTGTTAGTGTTTCTAGAGCATAAGTCCCTTGAAGTGAGGTGAATTTCCAAAAAGCTGGAAAGAAATGTAGAGATTGTCTAGTTATATCCTTTGCCCTGCCCATTTTCCTGATGGAAAAACAGGCTTAGAGAGGTTAATCTTTCCAGGTCAGTTAGCCAAGTTTGCAGAAAACTAGGCATAGAGCCCAGGTATCCTGACTTTCAATGGTGTGCTTTCCATTATATTGTCCCATCTTCTTCTATTTCACTTGTATCTCTTCAGGATGCCTGGTAAAGTGCTATATGCATATACAAGTCTCCCAATAAAGGCTGATACAATAAGCATAAGAGTTTACATAACTGAAAAACTGACTCAAGGAAAGAGGCAAAAAGCAGAAAGGTCATTTTCTTACTTCTTTGCATGATGCCACCCTCCGGACCAGTTAATTGCTACTTTGCACATTCCATCAATCAGGCATTGGGCAGCTGTGATTGTAGCCCCTCCTACAGCTGCTGCGTAGTCAAATATCCCTTCAGTGGCTGGGCAGTCATAACCTTTGGGAAAACATCAGAAGAGTTTGTTAAAAGATGAACTGGAGAAAGGAGGTGTGATACTGTGGTTTATATAACAAGAAATATTTATTTGTGATCTTCACCTCCATTTCTGACACAGAGCTCCTAAAACTGTTGGAATTTCCTGAGTGATGAGAACAATAAAGGTGTCTTTGTGATGCTAATGAGGTGATCTGTGGATCACCCCTAAGGATGGAGGTTGGTTGCCAGCGGAGCAAACCAGGTGATCAGAAGGTTGGAACTACCAGTCCTACCCCCTGACCTCCTGTGAGAGGAAGGGGCTGGAGATTGAGTTCAATCATCATTAGGCTAATGATCCAATCAGTCATGCCTATGTAATGGAGCCTCCATAAAAACCCAACAGGATGGCTGGGAGAGCTTCTGGTTTGGTGAATACATGGAGGCGTGGGGAGAGTGGTATGCCTGGAGAGTGCATGGAAGCTCCACATCTTCTCATCATACCTTGCCCTATCCATCTCTTCCATCTCACCATTCTGAGTTATATATACCCTTTTGTAAGTAACCAGTAATCTAGAGAGTAAATGGGTTTCCTGAGTTCTGGGCACTGCTCTAGCAAATTAAACCCAGAGTTCTGGGGACTTCTGATTTATGGCCAGTCAGAAACACAGGTTACAACCTGGGCTTGAGACTGGTATCTGAAGAGTAGAGCAGTGTTTGTGGGACTGAGTCCTTAACCTGTGGGGTCTGATGCTATCTCCAGGTAGACAGTGTCAGAGTTGAGTTGAATTGTAGGACACCCAGCTGGTGTACTGAGCATTGCTTGGGGGTTTAGGAGGAAAGTCCCACCTCCACATATTGGAAGTGGGTCTAGAACCCTATTAGGAGGAATAGTTTGAGAAGTAACAACAACATATTTCACCAAAAAGCTACTGTGCTAACATCAGCTTCCAAATGAAGGCAAACATCTCCAATGTTGGGGAAATAATTTGTTTAAAGTGTTGAAAACAAAAAGGCTAAACCTTCAAGATTAGCTAGTCACACCCTACAGATGGAGAAATGGAGTACTGAGAGGTGATATCTTATCTGTGGTCATAGAGAGCCAGGCCGGGGACCCAGGTCCTTTGACTCGCCTATCTCCCAGACCAGAGTTCCAGTAAACCATGCTGTTTCTCTAGACTATCCCGTTGGCCACCTACAGTTTAAAAAAAAATACAGCCGTTTAATGTGAAATAGTGTTGAAAACTTATCCGAAACATAGATATGCACTCCAGTTAAAATATAAGGTTACAGCCAGACCCAATCTGAGCACTGTTATTAGGCCAAACAACTAAAAGATTTTCCTCAGTTGATGGACACTTAGGTTCTTTCCATGTTTTGGCTATTGTTGAGTGCTGTGGTATATTTATAAAATGGAATACTACATGGCAACGAGAAAGAACGAAATCTGGCCATTTGTAGCAACATGGATGGAACTTGAGGGTGTTATGCTGAGCGAAATAGGTCAGGCAGAGAAGGACAAATACCATATGTTTGCACATATAGGTGGATTAGGAGGAAGTTAATGGAGGACAAAGTGGGAGAAGAAGGGGAAAAATAGTTGGGAAGAGGGAGGGAGGCAAACCATGAGAGACTCTTGAATGCTGAGAACAAACTGAGGGCTGGGGGGGGTGGGGGAGAGGGGGAGAGGGGGTGAAGGGCATGGAGGAGGGCACTTGTGGGGATGAGCACTGGGTATTATATGTAAAACCAACTTGACAATAAACTATTTAAGGAAGAAAAAAATAAAAAAATTAAAAAAAAAGATTTTCCTCCATCTGATCCATCATTTGGCTTTGTTCAACTTATATGGTTTGCTTGTTAAGTGAGATATATGTGTCTAAGCTAAGAGATTAATACTCTGGTTAACACATTAGTTCTTAATTAAAAAATAAATACTCTCATGCAAGTTATAAAATAAGTAGTTACAATCTATAGGTGGAGGTTGTCTACCTCCCATTGTTGCCCGGTAATGACTTTACCTAGCCCGTATTCTACAGAGTCCGGATGATCGTCATCTCCTTCTTGGCTAACCTTCTGGAGATGCTGCAGATAGGCATCAGTATGGAAGGTGGCCATCTCCTCCATGGAGGCTACTTTGGGCTTAACTATCCTAATAATAACAGAGAACAAAGAGAGGTGAGTGAGTCAGACCCAGAGTATGCCAGAAACTGGAAGCAGGAGCCAGCAATCTGAGCAGAAAATACAACTCCCAGCTCCTGGTTCCAGTGGGCTGAAATAATAAACATGTTCTCTTACTCTACTGATGTAGTCTTCACTTCCTCACATCTATGTAATGATTCTATTAATAAGGGGTGAGAGGATAGATCTTCCCCTTGAGTTCATAGGTAGTAAAAAAAAAAAAAGCGAGTGATTATATTTAAGTGAAATAATCAGATATTGGACAAACTTCACTCTGTGAGTTACAACTTCCATGACAAACTAGTAGGCAGAGATATTTGCACTTGAATTAGTTCCTAATTGGGACATATAATCCTTTCATCTACAGTTTTACTTTACATTTTTTTAAGTTTATTTATTTATTTTGAGAGACTGAGCAAGAGAGCAGGGGAGGGGCAGAGAGAGAGGGAGGGAGAGAGAGAATCCCAAACAGGCTCGGCACTGTCAGCACAGAGCCTGACTTGGGGCCCAGTCCCATGAACTGTGAGATCATGACCTGAGCCAAAGCCAGGAGTCAGACGCTTAACTGACTGAGCCACCCAGTTGCCCTTAGTTTTACTTTAATAGGCAACTCTATTATCATGAATTTTGAATTTGGAGTAGAGAACTGGGCACCTCTTCTTAACTCAGTACTTATCAACTCTATAACCTCAGGCAAGTTGACTGTTCTGTAGTTTCCTCATCTGTAGAGTAGGGAGATCTTATGGGACTTAATGTGAAAATGAAGTGGTAACATATGAAAATGCTTGTGGATAACTATCATTATTGTTAATACTAGCAGATAAGAAATAGGCAACTCAAAACATAAAAGTTTCTATATTTGGTCCCTCACATCTGCCTGTGAGAGGAAGAGAAGGGCAAACTGGTTGGAACTGGGCTTGGCTGAGAAGCTCTCAAGTAACTCCTCACAGGAAGTGACAAATAGAAATGACTCAGAGAATACAAGGTGTTGTTAACAACAGGACTTATGGCCTTTAACCTCGAGCTGCCTATTCCGCATTTCTTCTCCAGACTCTGCCACTGTCCCTTAAAGGGTGGTCTATGGACCACCAGCAGCAACAGCACCTGGGAACCTGTCAGACAGGCAGAACTTCAGCCATCAGCCCTACCTCTGATCTACTGAATCAGAATTTAACAAGATGATCCATATGTACATTAAAGTTGGAAGAGCAATGGCCTAGGACACAGGGAAGCAGTAGTGGTTTTTTAATATTTGCTGAATGGGAACTCAGCCATGAGTTTTTCATGAATTAATATGACTGTGTAGGCTACTACTATCACCAAGCAGGCTGGAAGAATCCTGTAGCTCAGTCTCAACAATTAAATATATATAGTGGCACCTGGATGACTCAGTCGGTTAAGAGTGTGACTTTGGCTCAGGTCATGATCTCGTGGTTCATGAGTTCGAGCCCTGCATCAGGCTCACAGCTGTCAGCAGAGCCCACTTTAGATTCTCTGTCCCTCTCTCTCTCTCTGCCCCTCCCCCACATGCTCTCTCTCAAAAATAAGTAGACATTAAAAAATTTATATATATATAGCTAAGATACAAGGACTTTTGCTTCTCCTTCAAGAAAAGGACAAATCTGTGCATTAAAATAAAAACATTACAGTTTCTTGGACCATGTTTCCCAGCCCTAATAAACCCTTTTTCTAGCGTCCTGCCTCTTATCTAACAAATACTTACAGAAAGCTTCTCTGCTTAATAGCAAGAAAATAGGGCAGTTTTGCTTTGCATGGATTTCCTGTTTGTCTTGAAAAATTTTTTATGTTTATTTATTTTGAGAGAGAGAGAGAGAGATGGGGGGAGTGAGCGCACATGGGAGGGGCAGAAAGAGAGAGAGAGTCCTAAGCAGGCTCCACGTGGCCAACTTGGAGCCCGATGTGGGGCTCGAACTCACAAACCATGAGATCATGACCTGAGTGGAAATCAAGAGTCAGATGCTTAAACCACGCAGGTGCCCCTGCACCTTTTTCCAAAAAATAGTAATTTTTGGAAAAGTTAAGTAACTGTGATGAAAGGCATGTAGTTTTTACATCTACCAAACATATGGGTTAAAAAAAAAAGTATTCAAAAAACGATTTTGTTAATAAGGATAAAATATGAAAGCCTATTACACTACCTTCTGGAGGATAAATGAAGCATACCACGTAAGTCAGAGTAAACACACCTACTTGGCTAGACAATGTCATAAATAATCCTACAAGTGACAGGGTTATAATATTTACTCTTATAATGATAAATGGCAAGTTCACTTTTTTTTTTTTTTTTTTTTTAAGACGCACTTAAGTCTGTGCTGAATTCTGGCCTGGTTGCGGGAGTTTTGCTTTGGTCTCGACTTGTCTCCAGGCTTAATTGTAAAAGTTAGGTGGTGGTGATGCGGTGTCTGAAAGTCTTAAGTTGAACACACACCCTCAGATTTGGCTTAGTAACAAACACATAGAAATTCCAGAACATGTCCCGGGTGAAAAAAAAAATTTCCCCATCAGATGGGTTTTACTACCCTTGTGTACTCACCTCAAAATCTCCACAGAACGCTTAATCCCTAGGTTACTTTCCCTTACAGCAATAGTCTTATTTCTAATGGGTCTTAACTGCTTTATGCACATTTTTCAAGTTTTCTTAATTCTTCAAGAGCTTTCACTAGGTTACAGGCAGATTACAAACACTGAATTGCAAAAAACTTTGAAAGAAAGGACCATTCTCTTCCTAATTAGCTCCATTGTGAAGTAGGATACTAAGGCTAGGAGCACTTAGCTTCAGGGCTCGGTTCAAGAAAGACAACTTACCTCATTTGCTTATGCAGTGCATACGCTTCAATCAAAGAATGTACCATACTGGCCTAAAAACATCAACAAAAAAGAAAAAAAGGCAGAAAAACGTCTCTTAAATGTTTAATTCAGAGAAATACCATCGACTTCATCATCCTGAACAAAGAAAGTAACTTTTAACTCCCCTCCCTTCTTTTTACTTACCAGTTGCAATGCACTTTAGACAAAATAGATACAAAGTATATAAATCTCTAAGGAGAAAGCGACCGGGCCTCTCCGAGGTCCTGGAACGTTTCTCTCCTGCAGCATCTTCTCCACTTCAGGGATCCCTTGTAGTGGAGACACCATCCCCTCAGTACCATCCCCTCCCCCGCACCCCTATCCCCTCCGGTGCGTTGCACGCCCCGCCGATAAATGCGGCACTCTCAGAAACTGTAAGGGAACACTTCCTCTATCGCCTGGCACAGCTGCCCAAATTTCTGCTGAAGATTTCCACCAGCCCGGTATGCCCTCTGTTTCCTAATGCCGTCCGGTCCAACGGCCCCCACCCCCACCCCAAAAGCCCACGGTCTTTTATCCCCCACCTTTCTTACCCGTTTGGGGACTTTGGCCAGGGAGTCGCACATACTGACATACTCGGGACTGTAGATGTACACTGGAGGCAGCGACTGCCCACTGTCCGCCGGTTCCTCCGGCTCCTCCATCTTCCAATTCCAGCCGTTCCAGAGCCACCGTCTGGATCCGGCTTTTTTCGGACTCAGCCCGGGCTCTGGTTCCTGCTCTTCTGAACGGCCGCAGCGGTGCTCCCTGGTCAACATTCCCTCCTATTCTCGTTATCGCCAGAGACACTGTCCCAGCTCCCCAACCAATTGAAGGAATACATGGGCCCTCCCAGGCCAGAACCCCTTCATTTAGTGACCACCGTTCAAAAACGAGAGGTAGACAAATATAAAAGCCCAAGTAACTGCCAATTAGGATCGATATTTTATGGGACAAATAAGCACGGTCAAAACTAACCATCCTTGTTGCCCTACGGGGCCATTTGAAATGAGGTCAGACCAGCTTTAGAGCATGCTGGGAGATGTAGTTTTGAGGGGTTCGAGTAGCGGAAGAGCCGGCGCTAATTACTAAAATAGCCGCGAATTTGAGTTTTAACGCTAAAAAAAAAAAAAAAAAAAAAAAAAAAAGCCGCCTCAGCTTTTCATGAATTGTTTCCATCTGCAGATACACCCATATAAACATTTAAAAGATAGACACAATGTGACCACCAAGAGCCCAGCACCATCCAGCTACCTTAATTTTTTTTTATTTTTTATTTTTTGTTTGGTTTGGTTTGGTTTTGGTTTTGGTTTTGGCTTTTTTTGGTGGGAGACTAATAACTGGGTGCAAAAGACTGAAAAGTTTACACAGTAAATTCCGTACCACAACTTTAGTTTATTCCTTTTCATCATTAGCAATCCATGTCCATGTAAGAGTTAAAAAGCTCAACAATTCACTCTGGCAAAGCCGAAAGCACTTTCCTAAGAGGCTGGCTGGTAAACTGGAAATTGCTTTGTTGATTCCAATCAAGCAGTGATGTCAAATTACTCTGAAAATTCATGTGGAAGGAGGTGAGCAGATACTTTCAGTGATGTTTGCAAACTTCAGCTTCCCTTCCCTCCCTCTCTTTTGCTTCTGGAGCTATACAAGGGTTACTGAAATATTTTAGATTTAGTGTGAGGCTCCACATTACATAATATCCTGAAGCAGTTTTAGAATTATCATCAGTATTTCCAGGCTCCTGGCAGCTCCTATGATATGATGCAAGCTGGCCAGTTCCTAAGTCTTCCCCTCCTCCACCTCTCACATCAACCTGAAGTGACCTGCTAACACCTCTCAGACAATCCAATATCCTTACCTCCTTCAAAAACTAGCTTGCCTTTATTTTTTTTTTAACTCTATAAACACTTACTGAGCATTCTGGTATGCACCCGGATATATTATCTCATTTCATCTTTGCAAAAGTCCTATGAGGGATGTTGTAAAATGCCCATTTTACAGATGCAGTTTAGAGAGAGAGCAAATGGCTGTTCAATGTCACACACCTATTAAGCAGAAAAGCAGGAATTCAAAACCAGGTCTGCCTGACACTGAAGCCGTTGGACATTCCCTTTACTACGTAAACTTCATTCCTGCAGGATGACTTTGTGTTAAATCTAACTTTGTTCAATCCTCTACTTAGTATTCCCTGAGTACTTACTATTCTGGAAAATCCACCCCACCCCCATGATGTGTTCTTTAACTGGAATGTAAGTCCTTATGCTTCTTTTAGAACTGGTTCAAAGTTCTACAATCATTCAGTCATTCATTAAACATTTATCTGAAGGCAACTACATGTATAACAGTGAAGGATTTAATTCTCAAGATGGACTACAATCTTATTTCTGCTCTCAGAGAATTTGCATTCTTGTAGAGATGACACAAATACACAAGAAACAGTATGCAATGCAGCAGAGTCAGATAACGAATGTAGGAGGCTTAGATTACTTCATAACTAAGCATTAAGTACTTAATAAGTGGCAACTAGAATTCCTGTTCAGTGGCATTTGAGATGGTCTTAGTGTATGGACAGGATTTTACTTGGTGAGGATGTGAGCCGGAGGTGGGGGGATAGGGGGCATGCTGACTAGAATCAACAACATAAGCAAAAGCACAAAGGAGAACATTTCTAGTCTAGTTTAGCTGAAGAGGCTGGATCATGAAGGGTTGTAAATCCCAGGCTAAAGAGAACAGAATTCATCCTGTGGCAAATGAGGAGATATTTAAACAGCAATCTTAAACAAACAAACAAACAAACAAACAAAAGATTTCTACAGGAGTGGCATGGAGGAAAGATTAGCTATTGAAAGACTAGAGGTAGTGAGACTGCCGCAGTGGTCCATATTAAAAGTAATGATGATTTAAACTAGGGTATGGGCAATGGGAAAAGAGATGCCACTACCCCAGTCCTGGCATTGTCATCTCTCACCTGGACTTTCTGCAATATCTCACACGTTTCTACCTCTGCTTTTGCAGAACTACAATCTAGTCTTTTTTGCAGACACCAGAATGAAGTTGGAGCAAAACAAAACAAAACAAAAAGTAAATCAGATCATGTCACTTTTTAAAGCCTACCCCACACCATGGTGCGAATCTTTTGACCTAGGAAGAAGAGTGTAACTTTTGGGAATGCCTTTTTGTGGAGGTTAGGAGGAGAAAAAGATGCCAGAAAGGAGACAAAAGAAGAAATGAGTGAGAACAAATGTAGTACAGTTTCACAGAAATTGAGGGATGAGAGGGTCACAAGAAGGGAGAGGTAGTAACAATATCATTGCCATTAGGAGGAGCTCACTTGTGCTCTATGAGAAAACACACACAACACACACACACACACACACACACACACAAGGCGGGGAGGAAGCCAGATTGCAAGGGGTTAAGGAGTGAAACCAACACTATCAGCCTCTTTGAGGAAATTTGATTGTGAAAGGAAGGAGTTAGTGTATCAGGGGATGTTAGAGTTCATGAATGATTGTTTTTAGGATAAGAGAGAAATGCACACATTTAGAGACAAAGGGGAAGAAGTCTGTGGGGATGTAGGAGTTGACTGAAAGATGAGACTGTAACAGGTTGGCAGTATAAAGAGGAAATGGGATTTGTCCTGGGCCATGGATAGGCAGGGGAAGGAAGAGGGCAGGATACAGGCTGGCCAGCTGGCACCCTAAAATCTGGACTGTAATAAGATGATACCAAAGTGGATCGTTCTCTGTGTTCTTTCAGATCTAGCAGCAGGTAGCTGAACACTTCAACACACTTCTAAAGTGAAACAGTATCCTCATTTGACACACAATGTGGCAAGATGACTCAAGTATGGAGTAAGATAAATTGTTGCAATGAGGCTCTGAAATTGGCAGCCTATTCGTGCAGCAAATCTCACAGGGTGGCTGGACCCTTGTTCATGATGAAGACAGAGCACAAACCATGCCACAGGTACCTAACCTCAATTTTCCACATGCTTAATATCCATATGGTCCTTAACTTGGGAAGGAAACCCTTCCCAAAGCACTGGAATTGCAGGTGGAAGGCCTAAATTCAGAGGAAGTAGGTTGAACTTTGGCTCCAAAGTGTACTGGTGTGTACCCTGGATAAATTCCTTGACCCACTTTCTTCAAGTGGGTCTTTCTTTATTGCTAAAGGTAGTTTTTGAACCAGCAAGTTCAGGTTGGGCTATGCCACTTCTTTTGGCAATCTTGCCTGTCTTCACTTGCTGACAGAAGCAGGCAGAAGGGAAAGCAAACACTGAAAAGGCAATACTCCTGTGGTCACCTTCTTTGTGCCCATTGCCCACTGTGCCATACAATCTGCCCACAGATGCCTAAACTGTACTCAACAGACTGACCCTTGTTTTTAATGTCTTTTCCATGGAGGGTGTCATTGTCAAGAATGGGAACTTTAGAGCCAGACTGCTTGGGCTCAAATCCCAGCTCTACCGCTTACCAGCTGTTTGATTTTGAACAATTTGCTTAAATGCTCAGCACCTCAGTTCCCTCATCTGTAAGATGGGGATGACAGCAGTATCTAGCTCACATGGTAACTGTGAAGCTAGAATAAGATGGTTCATGCCAACTGCCTGTATAAAAATGTCTGGTATCTGGTAAGCACTCACATATTGCTTAGGATTTAAGAGATATTATTTAAGTCTCCCCCCTACTGTTTCCTTACTCCCACACCACGACTGCAAGAATACTTTTGAGAACACGTCCTTGGCTTTTAGGCCTAGCCTTAAAAGAAATCAGACTTCTGCTAAATATAGGGCAACCATATCATCCAAACTGGGACACTTTTGAGAGTGACAAAGAGTGCTATTAATAATTATGCCAGGACAACAGGCATAAATGGAGGCTGTCCTGGGCAAATCAAGACCTAAGGTCACTCAAGTTTAAGAGGAAACGAAGACTAAATGTGGAAAACACTGTATTTATCTCCACTGCATTAGTGTAGGTACTAGGTATTGAGTAAGTGCAAAGGGGTGGGGGGCTGTAGAGGTTCTGTGAGCCATGGGTAAGAACAATGTTTGCCCCACCAGTTGCATAAAATTTCTACAGTGTAGTGAAACCTAATTAACAAGGATGGGACTGGAGACTGGTTGCTCCTTACTGAACATACTCTCTCTTGTTACATGATGGCTAATGAGTAGTTATAAACAGGATTCTGCCAAATATTTATAACACTTAGGAGAACAAATTGTTGTTAAGTTCCCTCCAGTGGTACAAAAGCCCCATTTGCACACAATTGTAACACTGAGTAAAAATTGGTCATATTCATTCATCAGGACAGGTCCCCTAAAGATGTCAATAAGCCTGTTTTAATTTAGTAAGCCTAGTTTGAGCAGCTATGTAGTTGAAAGATAAAACTGTGTTTCTTTACCCATATTATCTAACATATTATAGAATATATAATATATGATTTCCATATTAAGATAATTCTACTTTGACCCAGTTAATGAGCTTTGACTGTACTGTATAATTAAACAGAGTATGAAAAATAGAGCCACGAAATAAACCACAGTCACAAAAACACACATAAAGTTTTGCACACTGGCATCAGACGTAATTTAATTGGACATCCCAACTTTTAATTCTAGTTTCAGAACAGAAGTGCTTAAAAAAAAAAAGTCCAAAGTCTCTTTTAGTATCACATGCTTACAAAGAACAAAATGCAGATCAAGTTTTCTTTTTTTTTATATATATATTTTTATTTTATTTCTAGGAGAGAGAGAGAGAGGCAGCGTGAGCAAGGGAGGGTCAGAGAGAGAGGGAGATACAGACTCTGAAATAGGCTCCAGGCTCTGAGCTGGCAGTCAGCACAGAGCCCGATGCGGGGCTCGAACCCACGAACCGCGAGATCATGACCTAAGCGAAAGTCGGACGCTCAACCGACTAAGCCACCCAGGTACCCCAGATCAAGTTTCCTAAAAAGTTGCTTTAAATGTGAAACAGCACTGGATGGAGAGCACAGTGATAGGCAATTTAGTAAGCCTAGAGTATGAAAGCAGTCAGTGTCAGTTCAGGCAAATTAGCATGGGGAGAGCGGCGGTTTTCACTTACACCGCTCCGGATGTACTTCCTGTGGCTGGGGTACGCGGCCAGTGAAAAGACAAACGGTATGAGAACAGGTCATAAGTTATCTTCATAAAGTGACCAGAAAAGTCACATAATCAAAAAGCTACTTACTGTGTGTTTCTATTTGCTCTGAGAGACCTACTAAAAAGGTTGGCTATCTTCTCTCATTTCCACTGTCTGTTGTCTATCACCCTACTTAGTATGCTCGCTTACTTATGCACTCAAAAGACTGTCATTGGTTCTGTAAGAACTGTTCAGAGAGCTTTCCAGCTCCAGCCCCATTCTTGGAGAAAAGTCAGAAAAATCTGAGAGAAAGGAAAAGACCAAAGTAGGAAGTTACCTGAGTGCAAACAGGTAAATTAGTAGAGTCTTTATACATAAACAAGGAGAATGAAAGTGCTATGGACTGAATGTTTGTATCCCTCCAAAATTCACATTGGGAATTCAGCCTTAATCCCCAAGGTGATGATGTGCTCGCTTTAGCAGCAGGTATACTAAAATCCCCAAGGTGATGGGATTTGGAGGTGGGGGCCTTTGGAAGGTAATCAGGTTGAGACGAAGTCATAGGGAAGAGTTCCCATGACAAAACTGGTGCCCTTATGAAGAAAAAGAAGAGACTATAGTACCCACCCTCCTTCCCCCTTTCTCTGCCATGTGAGGACACAGCAAGAAGGCGGCCATCTGCAAACCAGGAAGAGGGGCCTCACCAGACATTGAGTCTGTGGGCATCCTGATCTTGGGTATCTCGGCCTCCAGAAACGTAAGAAATAAATGTTTGTTATTTAAGCCGCCCAGTCTACATTATTTTGTTACAGCAGCCTGAACTAAGAAAGGTAGGAGAAACATTCTTCAAACGAGGCTACCTAAGCATGGGACTACGGAAAAGGACTTATGGATTCCTTCATACTCTTGGTGTGTCAGCCTGGGGCCACAGTCACCACCATCCATATATTTACATAGTCTGCCAAATTTAGATACAGATAGATATACAGACACATCGAAACTAGTAACATTCAGAAAAATTCCTGTGTATGCTGAGACACACACACAACTGTAGTTATTTACAAGAAATAGATGTATGCCCACAGATATCAAAATACACAGAGATATGAACACTAGAATCAGGGAGTGAAAATGTAAGTGAAAGAGTTTAAGAACTGATGGGAAGGCAGGGAGTTGGTGGCAGGTGGGAGTTGGATGCTGTAGAAAGTGAGTAGGCGAGTTAGACAGACAGGTAAGGACCACCAAGGGAGGACTGCTTGGGAAGGCTATAGACTTGACTGCTGGATTCCTGTTTGCCAAAGACAAAGACTTCAATTATTCTGCGTATTGTATGTTGGCCTACTCTTCAGAGGCAAAAGTTGGTGCACAAGGCTCTCTTTGGGGAACTAGCTTACCTCTGATTCCCTCTCTGTTCCCTAGTGTAAGATACTATTACAGGCATCTTCTCTTCTCCCTTCCTTTTTGAAATTGGGCTCCTAGCTCCTGGGTTATTCTGCATTTTCTGCTACAGACACATCTCTGAGCATCAGCCATCTTCAGAAAATGTGATTTCAATTGCTAATACAGGAATTCTTAAATACAGACACTTGTATTTTTTTTTTTTTGAGATTTCACCAAAGGGAGAATAGAAATTATATATGCAGACACAGAGAAGGCAAGAGCAGGGACAATAATTTTATACAGAAAGGCATTCGTCACTCAGTGTGAGGCAACGTGTGAGTAAAGAAGAAAACCATGATCTGGTACTCTCCTTTCCCAAGACAAGTCACTTAGAATAGATATTTCCAATTTGTGGCAGTATAAAATCCAACACTTTAGGATTTCCCAGTTGAAATAATGTCCCAAAGCACCCACCACTCATTCATACAATGAAATTACACATAAGAAAAATTTCCAAACTTCAGGCATAAGTTATTATTAATAACTGCTCTCCAAACAGTAGTTAGGAAACTAAATTTGTAACGAATCTGGAGGATAAAAACACATGCAAACTTCCATGAACCATGAAAGAATTAAGGCCTACAAGAAAGTGCCTGGGTGGGCATATTCCTCCAGGCAGAGGTTCACTTCTAAAGTAGTTAGTGGATCAGAAAAGTTCATTCTTCTTGGTTGGGATGGGATGGGATGGAAAAGGGCAGGGTAGGAGTGATCAGACCAACACATTTCAGTCTCATGCATGATCAACCGAGGCAGGAACCAGCTGTCAAAAGGCTTCCCGCAGCCAGGGCCCAGAGGCCTCACTGCATGGCACAGATGCTGTGAGGCAGGAACTCCTGTACGTAGGTGGCAGCCGCCTTGGAGAGGTAGGTCATGGTGCCAAACCTGCCACTGGGTGCACTGTCATACAGAAGAGTACAGATGCCAGATGCAGGATCCTTGGCCAACATGGTATCATCTGCCCCGAGGGTTTTCTGTTTGGTTTTTAAGGGTGGGAGAACACAGGGGAAAGGAAAAATTACTAATCCTACTAGTTAAAGTCCTGATTGGGATAACTCAGAGCCTCCTCCCCATCACCAGCTAGTTGGATGTCAGGATCAGAATTATGCACAAAAATGTTGAATGTGAGTTTCTATAGGCGCATTTTTCACTAGATACCCAAATCCTATGACATTATTTTTTTAAATAAAATTGTTTTAATGTTTACTTTTGAGAGAGAGACAGAGGCAGAGAGAGAGAGGCAGAGAGAGAGGGGGACAGAGGATCCAAAGCAGGCTCGAGGCTCTGAGCTGACAGCAGAGCCTGATGTGGGACTCAAACCCATGAACCATGAGATCATGACCTGAGCCGAAGTAGGATGCTTAACTGACTGAGACACCCAGGTGTCCCCCATGACATTACTACTAAAGTATTAATTGTTCAGAATTTTTGAAAGGTAAGTATAAACAGTTAATTAAATGAGTTGTACCTGTTAGGAGTCAAGTGTTAATACTTACAAATCACCCCAGAGGGACTTGGGTCTGAATTTTTCCAGTACTACTGATTTCAGCACGTATTATTTTATCTTGCTTTTGATGATTATTTCTTTCTAAGTCGACTTAATCCAAATAGACTGTAAGCTTTCCAAGCTAGAATCTATGCCTAAAAGGGATCATATTTGCTGATACACAGACTAACAGCAATCCAGAATCTTTAAAATTAGGACTGTCCTGGATACTTTTTATTTTATTATTATTATTTTTTTTTTTGCATTTTCCGACAGTACCTAATAATAGAATGAAACACCTATTACAGTTTTTGGAGATTTTCCTATTGACAACAGGGCATGTCCTTCACCTTAGTGTTCCTACTCTTAATCTAGGAAAATTTGGAAAGCTTTCAATAGTCTGCATTTCTTAAACATGGTTAATTTCCTGGAAGAAGATACATTAAGAAAAAGTTTTTAAATGTAGAATGAGAAGTTTCACTTTAATATTTTCCTATAGGTAAGTAGCCAATGCAAAAACAAAACAAAACCAAGCCAAGATCAAATGTTCTCTTTTCCTTAATAGCCCAAAAAGATTATGCTATCCAGTCGTCTCTTAAGTCCTTATTGCTACAAAAAGTCATGTGATAATAAGAATGAAATATGATGAAAAGCATAAAAGCCTCCTGAATTCCAGGCAACTTTACCATCTAACACAATCACAAAAACACTTGGTGAAAGACAGAGGCCGTCCTGCAGCCTACTTCTTTTGCAAACAGGGCTCAGAGCCATTATAAAGGGGCCCAGAAAAGAGCTATGAGGAAGAGTGCACAAGAAAGTGACCCTGGCTTCCTGAAGAGCTCTGAATGTAGTCAGGTTAGTGTCACACATTCCCCTTGGAGAAAACAACAGGCTTGCTGCTTGCCTACCTGTTCTTGAAGGAACAAGTCATTAGCAATATGCACTATCTTTTCCACAGCAATGATGCTTCCAATACTATGAATTTCAATATCTGCCATCATGGTGAGGACAAGGATGGCTTCGACCAGAAGCTGGCGGTACTCTGGTTGAGGTACACGGTTCAAGACAGACTCCACATGAACAGAGAATTTAATCTCGCCTGGAGTCATCTGTGATAGAGAAAAAGAAAATTAATTCCTAAGACCCCATCACCCAGGAGGCATCAATCACCTATTGTGAAAGGCAGGAAAAGCACTATAGCCAAGAGCACAGCTTGGTCTCCTTCAAAGTACCTGAGTGAGTAAATTGGTCTGATCTTTTTGAAATGCAGTCTGGAAATGCATAAGGGTCATAAAAGTGTCAATGCCCCCTAACCCACAATCCTATTTTTTAGAGTGTAACTGAAGCTAATAATTCAAGAGAGGAAAAAAGCCCTATGTTCAAGAGTATTTATAGGGGCGCCTGGGTGGCTTAATCGGTTAAGCGTCCGACTTTCGCTTAGGTCATGAGCTCGCGGTTCGTGGGTTCGAGCCCCGCGTCGGGCTCTGTGCTGACTGCCAGCTCAGAGCCTGGAGCCTGTTTCAGTCTGTGACTCCCTCTCTCTCTGACCCTCCCCTGCTCACGCTCTCTCTCTCTCTCCTAGAAATAAATAAAAATATTTTTAAAAAATTTAAAAAAAAATTAAAAAAAAGAGTATTTATAGCAGCATTAGTCACAAGTGGAAAACTAAAAGTAATCTAAACAAGAGAATGGTCATGTAAATAATGGCATATTTTGGTACAGCAACTTCATGGGTTATTATAGAGTCATTTAAAAGAATAAATATGACTGTGGATAAAGGAAAAATTTAAGTAGAACTTAAAACTATATGTACGGGATAACTAGAATTATGTAAAACATTTATATACTGTTAGATTAAAATGGGCACGAGGAAATACAAAGTTATTTTAGGGTGAAGAGCAGTGAAGAATAATTTTTGGTAAAATTGTATTGAGTATATACTTTTGGGTGGCAATATAGATTTGGACCCTAAAGACCAGGGTCTTTGTTCGTTACTAGTTCTATGACCTTGAACAATTCATTTCCCTAAATTTGTTTCCATATTTGTAAATTGGGAACTACAGTCTCTTCCTTAGGTGTCTTACACACCTGTGTTAAAGATTAAATTAAAGAATATATGAAGATACTTTGAAGACTCTTAAAGGTACCATTTGGGTGTGTATTATTATTATTAATTATATTAACATTTCAATCTTGCTTAAAAGCAGAGAAAGGACAAAGAGAGGGCACAGTGTTCTTTATTAGAGAAGAGGCCTAGAGGCAAGAGTGAGGCCCTGAAGCATATCATTAGTTTTCTGCACCTGCCCCTCCAACAACTCCAGTGTTTTGAGAATATCCTACCATCCAGTCTTAGTGTTCCTAATTTGCTAGTTCTTTTGTTGGCTTTGTATAAAAGTTATTTCTTTATCATTTCTATGTGATTGGGCAAAAAGGGAAATATAAAAGCACCCAATAATATATGTCTGTGGTTCATGGCAATATTTTCTAACTATAGTTCTATACCAGACTCATTCTAAGGATTGTTTGAGAGAGAGAGAGAGAGAGACAGACAGACAGACAGACAGACAGAGAGAGAGAGAGAAGGGCAGAGGGAGAGAGAAAGAAATAGAATCTTAAGCAGGCTCCATGCTGACTTGATCCCATGGCCTGATCATGACCTGAGCCAACATAAAGAGTTAGATGCTCAACTGACTGAGCCACCCAGGTGCCCCAAGGATTTTTCTTTTAAAAGTACAGATGCTCAGGTTCCATCCTTGAAGATTTTAATCCACTAAATTGGAGACAGGAGCTCAGGTGGCTGTGACATATGGTTAGAGCTGAGGACCTCTAATATAATCTAATAGTCTATAAGCATCGTATGATAGAAAGGTGGAAATGAGAATGATGGGGATGTGAGAGGTCATCCATTCCTAGATTTCTATCTTGTCTGCCCTCTCCAACTCTGGCAATACTCACACAAACCAGTCTAACTTAACCATTAAAAGAGGCTGTCCTTATATAATTAATGTAACACATAATTATTCTCTAATATTCCCATTCTATTTATCTTCCTATTCTGTCTTTAAAAAACATTCTCTCCTTTTCTCAACTGCACTTCATATTTAGTTGATTTAGAGTCATAGAACTGTTATTTTGAAAATGATCACTGAAATACTTTAGTGACACAAACCATCAATCACATCTATGTGGAAGACACAGAATCTCACCTCTCTAGTGGTTGAAGAAGGAAGAACAAAACCTTCTACAGAGAGTCCATGACACTGCAAAACAGCAAAAACATGTTATCACTAAGGATATGCTGATAAACAGGAGCTACCAAAATATTCCATGTGATTACAAACATGCTTGAAAAAACGGAAAAAAACCAATATGTTAGCCACGAATTAGAAGATACATAAAAGGAAACAAACAAACAAACAACAACAAAAAACCTCAAGACCTGGAGCATTAAGAAAAGGTCTAACATTCAGGTAATTGACATCTCAGGAGAAGAGAACGAGTTCAGGGCTGATAAAATATTTAAAGAACTATAATCTAAAAACTTCCCAAATTTTGAAAAGCACACAAACATTCTGTCTAAGAAGCTCAGTGATTCCAAAAGATTATAAATTAATTATTATTATTAGGAAGATTTACCTCTCAAATGGATGTCCTATTATTTTATGAACACTGTCATCAGGAATGCTATGGAAAAGGGGTCATTTTAAATTTCTCAGTTGGGTACAAAGACCATGGACTTTTTGGGCCTAGCTCCAGCTCCATGATTTTACTATTCTATCATCCCAAGTGAAGGATACTTCCTGATGAAAAGCTCTCGTACATATTGCCAGCTCAGCAGTGTGTTTCATGGGGTAGATGCTGAGTAATCACAGGCCAGTGAAAGGCTCTGCAGCCCAAGTGTCCTTGCCAAGGACTTGCGATTATTATGTGGCAAGAAACAGGGCTGGGCTATAGGAGACGCAAGATTTACCCTCTATTTAAAGGAGTGGAAGAGTTAGAGATTGGATTGGATTGCAGTTACTTATGTAATTGTTCCTTTACGATTAATACAATGTTTCTCTCTGGCTGCTTTAAAGGCATTATTTTTATCTTTAGTTTTGTGTTTGGTCTACCTTCTGGGATAGACTAGTCCCAAAGATTCAGAGACTATCAGGAAAGATATCATTCTAGGTCTCAGACCCATCACAAATAGGCCTTAGCATCTTTGCCAAAAATCACTTGACCATACATAAAAGGGTTTATTCATGTACTCTTAACTCTGTTCCATTCATCTATATGTTTATTCTTATGCCAATTATCACAGTCTTATTATTGCTTTTATTGTTTCAGTCAATAAAATCTTCTCATTTATCATTTTTGTAATAATTTTTACATTTACATATAGATTTTATCACCAACTTAAAGTTTGTCAATTTCCCTAAAAAAGTCAATGTAAGAAAGATTTTTAGGCTGAAGAAAAACCCTCACGATATGCATTTTTCAGACTTGTATAGTTACTACATTTCCTTTAAAATTTTTTTTAAAAATGTTTATTTATTTTTGAGAGACAGAGACACAGCATGAGCAGGGGAGGAGCAGAGAGAGGGAGACGCAGAATCCAAAGCAGGCTCCAGACTCTGGGCTGTCAGCACAGAGCCTGATGCGGGGCTCGAACTCACAAACCATTAAATCATGACCTCAGCTGAAGTCGGATGCTTAATTGACTAAGTCACCCAGGTGCACAGCAGTTACTAAATTTTCTAGTTAAGCATCCCCCCCCCCCACCATCAGTGCTCTTGATGGCCTCAATCTGCTGTACTTTTACTACAGTACTTGTCTTCTTTTAACATTGTATATAATTTACTTATCACATTTATTATTTATTGAATAGCAGAATCTAAGCTCCATAAGGACAACTATTGTCTATTTTGTTCTTTGCTGTATCACTGTGAGCACCTAGGACACTGCTTAGCATACAGCAGATGCTCAAGAAATAATATATAAATGAATGATATTTTATCTTCTCTCTCATCATCAACTCAAGTATTAAACAGCAATGGCTACTAGGAATTTATACAAAGGACACAGTAGTGCTGATGCATAGGGGCACATGTACCACAATGTTGACAGCACTTTCAACAATAGCCAAATTATGGAAAGAGCCTAAATGTCCATCAACTGATGAATGGATAAAGAAGATGTGGTTTATATATAGAATTGAATACTACTTGGCCATGAGAAAAAATGAAATCATGCCATTTGCAGCAATGTGAATAGACCTGGAAGGTATGCTAAGTGAAATAAGTCAGTAAGAAAAAGACAGATATATGTTTTCACTCATATGTGGATCTTGAGGAACTTAACAGAAGACCATGGGGGAAGGAAGGAGGAAAAAATAGTTACAGAGAGGGAGGGAGGTAAACCATAAGGGACTCTTAAATACAGAGAACAAACTGAGGGTTGATGGGAGGTGGGGTAGAGGGGAAAATAGGTGATGGACACTGAGGAGGGCACTTGTTGGGATGAGTACTGGGTGTTATATGGAAGCGATGAACAATGGGAACCTATCCCCAAAACCAAGAGCACACTACACACTGTATGTTAGCCAATTTGACAATAAATTCTATTAAAAATAATTTAAAAATTAAAAAAAATAAAAAATAAATGATCACTACAAAAAATACATAGCAATGGACATTAAGGACTTGCCATTTTAGATGTTAAATAAATTAAAACAATATATATTAAGCCATTGAAAAAGATTCCAATCCGGCATGGTTTACTGGCTCTGGTACCTGACACTTCCAACCCATGTTCCATATGCCAAATAACAGTCTTAGTACAGAGAATTACCAGACTGCAAACATATGTGCCAATAGTATGAGTATGTTATATTCATTCTAAAAGGAATGGAATGAAAAAAGAAGGCATTTATCCTCTTACATTAGGATTCCAAGTCCAAGTTTTGATTCTTCCATATGATACTCAATCTTCCCAGTCATATTTAAATGTTCCTTTTCTTGTATTTGCAAGGCCTTATGGTTATACACCTTTATCATAACACATTTTGGCTTTACATTATAGCTGCTATTTAAGAAGATAAGTATGGATTAAACTTCTTGATGATAAGAACAGATATGTTCCACAGTATCCTGGGTAGAACAGCACCCACTACATGTCTGTGAAATTGAATTGTCATAACCCAGGCATAACTGTAGAGATAAAATACCTGTCTGTGACCAGGGCAGTACAGAAGTTAGATGGAGAGTTTTAACAATACTCTCTGAAAAGAAGATTGCCAGAGCCACTAGTCTGAGGAATCAACTTTTACCTTTCCAAAAGATCACTTGTTTCAGTCCCTGGAAGAGTATCAGTGTGCTAAGGGGAGAAACATAACCAAGGTTTTGAAGCCCTGGATGAAATCTTCTTCAGGTCCTTGCCAAGGGCAATGAAGCAGAAACTGCCACCTAAGAGACTATAAATGTGACCTATAAATGACTACTGTGGTCTTCTTGGCCCTCTAAATCTGTCACAATCATAATGGTATGATGTCCCCTTAAATGTCTTTGGCAAGCCAGACCTTTGAAAGAAAAACAAAAATTGGTCACACTAACAGAGTCTCTGGGTCATTAGCATCATTATCATCTTGCATTTATTTAGAAGTTTTCATCCAAGAAAAAAATAGAACAGCTTCCTATGCTAACTCCCTAGACATCCCAGCTATTTTACTACAGCATCAGCACATTGCTACAAATAACATTTCCACTCTAAAAAAGCTACAAAGAAAGCAGGCTCTTTATCACCAAATTTGATCAGCAGGAAATGTATCACAGTGTCCAACAATGTTCAAGTATGGGCAAAGGCAGAGAAGTGATGATTTTTGAAATATAATTTATAAACAACACCCTAGTGACAATAATAGAGACTAAATTAGAAATAATATCAAAATAACAAATCAACTTCATTGATTTTGTATTCTTCTAGGTTTTGTCCACATGAGCATATGACAGTTATATAATTATAGTGAGGTCACAGTCAAGTCATATCTCAGCAAAGGAGACTGAGGATATCAAAAGGGAAAATAAAGAGACATCTACAATGTGTTATGCATACCTTCTGCAAAACTTTCCATACTTTTTGATAAAATCCAATTGGGACTCTGTTCAGTGCTCCATCTAGCCTTCTTCGGCGTTGCCACTGACCTTGACGATTATCTTTGGATGTCTGTTGACCTCTAGGAAAGGACCCACTACCTGGAGTCACTGGTGTTCCAGGTGACTTGGGAGAAGAGAGTAAAGAACATAAATCAAAAGTTATTTCTGATCTTCTGATAAAGTATTATAGCACAGTGAATAATAAACAGAGTCAGTAGAATTAGAAACCAATATAAAACGTAACACCCAAGATAAAGAGGTTACAGTGAAGCTAATAGACTTATGGGTAGCTAGCAACAATGTAAACCTTTGTAAATCTAGATCCTTTTAGAAAGCAATCCAGTGATACTTAAAAAGAGCTATACAAATACTTATGACCTGGGAGTTTCTTAGCTGTCTCTTGCCTTGGTTATCTCTGTTAAAATTCTAGCTGGTCTATGGCTTAGTTTGTTGCTTTCATGGGCTATAACACAAGCCTCAATCAAATTAAAATAACTGAAATCAGACAAAGCATGCTCTTGACTACAATGAAATTAAACTAGAAATCAAAAACAGAAGGAAATTTTGTATATTTATAAATATGTGGAAAATTAAACAGTATGCCACTAAATAACTGGTGGTTTAAGAAAGAAATCACGAGGAAAATTAGAAAACACTCTGAGATGGCTAAAATGAGAAAATCAGAGGACTCTAGATGCTGGCGAGGATGTGGAGAAATGGGCACCCTCCTACACTGTTGGTGGGAATGTAAACTGGTGCTGCCCCTCTGGAAAACAGTGTGGAGATTCCTCAAAAAATTAACAATAGAACTCCCCTATGACCCAGCAATAGCGCTGCTAGGAATTGACCCAAGGGATATAGGAGTGCTGATGTATAGGAGCACATGTTCCCCAATGTTCATAGCAGCACTCTCAACAATAGCCAAAACATGGAAAGAGCCTAAGTGTCCATCAACGGACAAATGGATCAAGAAGATGTGGTTTATCTATACAATGGAATACTACATGGCAATGAGAAAGAATGAAATCTGGCCATGTGTAGCAACATGGATGGACCTTGAGGGTGTTATGCTGAGCGAAATAAGTCAGGCAGAGAAGGACAAATACCATATGTTTGCATGTATAGGAGGATTAGGAGGAACTTAACGGAGGACCATGGAGGAGAAGAAGGAGGGAAATAGTGGGGGAGAGGGAGAGAGGCAAACCATGAGAGACTCTTGAATGCTGAGAACAAACTGAGGACTGATGGGTGTGGGGGGGAAGTGGAGATGGGCATGGAGGAGGGCATGGAGGAGGGCACTTGTGGGGATGAGCACTGGGTGTTATATGGAAACCAACCTGACAATAAACTATTTGTAAAAAAAAAAAAAAAGGAAACACTCTGAGATAAATGAAAATACAACATACCAAAACTTATGGGATGCAGCTAAAACAGTGCTTAAAGAGAAATTTGTGTCATAAATTCTTGTATTAAAAAAGAAGAAATATTTCATATCAATAAGCAAACCTTCTACCTTAAGACAATGAAAAAAAAAATGAGCAAGCTAAACCGAAAGCAAAAAGGAAGAAATAGTAATCACTGCAGGAGAAAGAAATAAAATAGAGACTAGAAAAGCAACAGCAAAAAACAATGAGAGAGAGCCGAATCCTAACCACTAGACCACCAGGGATCAGAGCAAAAAACAATGAAACTAAAATTTGTTTCTTTGACAGTAAATATAAAGTAAATTGACAAATCTTTAGCTAGACAGCACCTTCCCCCAAAAAAAGTTAAGACCCAAATGTATTAAAATTAGGACAGAAAAAGGGGACATCACCTCTGACTTTAAAGAAATAAAAAGGACTATAAGGACATACCATCAGCAGCCACATGTCAACAAATTACATAACTTAGATGAAATGGACAAATTCGTAGAAAGACATAAACTACCCAACCTGACTCAAGAAGAAACAGAAAATGTGAATAGATCTATAATAAAGATCAAATTAGTAATTATAAAACTTCCCACAAAGAAAAGCATAGGCACAGATGGCTTCACTGGTTAATTCTATAAAACACTTAAAGATGAATTATCATTTCCTCACAAACTCTCCCAAAACAGAGAAGGATAAGGAACTTCCTCATTTTGAGGCCAGTATTACCTTATTCCAAAATCAGACAAAGACATCACAGGAAAACTACAGATCAATATCCCTTCTGAATATAGATTTAAAAAATCAACAAAATACTAGCAAACCAAATTCAGCAACATAGAAAAGGATTATGCACCATGATGAAATAGAACTTACTCCAGAAATTCACAGTTTTCACACCCATCAATTAATGTAATACACCGTATCAATAGAATAAAGGATAAAAACCACATCATCCTAATAGATGCAGAAAAAGCATTCAATAAAAGCTAACACTCCTTCATGATAAAGACACTCAACAAACCAGGGACAGAGGGGGAACTTCATCAATCTAATGAACTACATCCACAAAACCCTCCAGCTGGCATCATAACAAATGGTCAAAGACTGAATGTTTTTCCTCTTAAGTTTAGAATAAGACAAAGATGTTTTTACTCTTACTACTCCTAATCAGCATTGCACTAGAGGTTCTAGCCAGTGCTATTAAGTAAGTAAAGAAAATAAATAAAAGACACTCAGAGTGAAAGGAAGAAGTAAAACTACATCTTTAAATGACATAATCATATATAAGGAATTCACTGAATGACAATTAGAATGATAAATGAGTTCAGTAAAATTGCACAATATAAGATCAATATAAACATCACTTGTAAGGATGAACAAGGAATCCCATGTTCATGATCAGAAGACTTAACATTGTTAAGGTGGCAATACTCCTGAAATTTATCTACAGATTGAACACAGTCTTCATCATAATCCCAACTAGGTTCTTTGCAGAAACTGACACGCTTATCCTAACACTCACATGGAAATTCAAGGGACTAATACAGCTAATACAGCTGTAAAAAACAAAACAAAAACAAAAACAAAAAAGTTCGAGTTGCCTTAATCTCTTCAGTTTAAGAAATCTGAAGTCAGAGGCCATTACATTGGTTTAAGCAAAGGGAATCTAATCAGAAATCAGTCTTCCTAAAATGTAAACTTCATGACGGCAAGGACTAGATCTGTTCTGTTGCTTATTTTATTTCCAGTGCCTGGTACAAAATTGGCACTCAATTAATATTTACTAAATAAATTACTAATCAGAATAATAGTCAATCCAGTGACCTTCAGACTTTAAAGTACATCAGAATCACCTGGAAAGCTTATTAAAACACAGATTGCTATGCCTTTCCCAAGCCTTTCTGATTCAGTAAGCCTAGAGTAGGGACCAAGATTTTACATTTCTAAGAAACTCCCAGGGGATGCTGATACCGTCTAGTACAGTGTCTGGCACCTAGTAGACATGCAATCAATTATATTAGTTGAAAGAATAAATGCATAAACAGACAGTTAAGTACTTATTAAATTGAATTTTGTTTTCTGAAATGGAAAAGAGGCTAGAGTTGAACCCCCTTCCACCCCTTGTAGGAAATCAAATGGAAAGATTTTACCCCATACATGAAATTGATTTATAGTTATTTTAGTTCTTGATTCATTTTGTCTTTCTTTTCAGTCAGTATATGTTGTGACTTATATAACAGCATATTCAAAATACTTGTGAATGGTATATAACAACAGTTACCAGAAAAGACGGTGATGTCAAATCTATACCCAAGGGATGACCACCATTGGACTATAAAAAAATTGAGAAAATAAGATTTTAAAAGAGATGAGGCAAGGCAAACACTTGTGTTTTTAAAAGTTATTAGTAGAGTAAGATTACAGACTCAAGTAACTAGCCAGCATGTTATTATTAAAAAAGCAGATGAAATAACATTATTATAGAAGCCATGGCAAAGGCTAAAGAAAAACTGCCTTTAAAATTATTTTTTCCCGGGGCGCCTGGGTGGCTTAGTCGGTTGAGCGTCCGACTTTCGCTCAGGTCATGATCTCGCGGTTCGTGGGTTCGAGCCCCGCGTCGGGCTCTGTGCTGACTGCCAGCTCGGAGCCTGGAGCCTGTTTCAGTCTGTGACTCCCTCTCTCTCTGACCCTCCCCTGCTCACGCTGTCTCTCTCTCTCTCTCCTAGAAATAAATAAATCATTAAAAAAAATTTTTTTTTAAATTATTTTTTCCCATGATCAGAAAAAAAGGGCATGGGTGAATGGTAGAGAAAAGGGCTTAGAACAATACAAAATACCAAACAGGCAAGTAAGGATAGAAATGGATAATTAGAAATTAGAAAGTAATGAAAATTTAAGTGTCTCAGTTCTTGAAATTACAGTCCTAATGATTTTGGCTTTCTTGAAGCCCTATAGGCAGTGGATGTGTAAAAAAGGAATTAAATGATATAGCCAGATAGGTCAAGTCCTTAATATCATAGTAATCTAGCTGGGAACACGGGATTTCAAGTTCTAAATATATAATAAACTTGTAAGTAATACTGTGTGACTATAAACAACTATAAAAAATGTTTAGCCAATAGTTCTCAGCCAATACAAGGACTGTTTACCAACAACATCAGTTTAACTCTTCAGTATGAAACATAGTTCTTTCATCTTTCAGATAGGAAAATGTTCAGATTATCCAAATTATCTGCAAAAAACCTGTCATAGTCAACAGTTTTCTATTATGAGACCATTTCTTAGTCCATTCAGTTCTTGCCCTTGGATAACATAAATCTGAAAAGTTTCCTTCAAATTAAACTTCAAACATTGGGTCGTTCTTGTCCTAAATGGTTTCTGACTCCCATAAAACCCTAAACAAAAATTTTTCATTTGGTCTCTCCTCTTCTGGATGTGCTTTACTACTGCAAGCTACCATAAATCAGGAGGAGTAGTTTTAAGATTTTCATAAAAAGTGCTACTGGGTGGGGGGCGCCTGGGTGGCTCAGTCGGTTGAGCGTCCAACTTTGGCTCAGGTCATGACCACACGGTTCATGGGTTTGAGCCCCGCATCGGGCTCTGTGCTGACAGCTCAGAGCCTGGAGCCTGTCTTCAGATTCTGTGTCTCCCTCTTTCTCTGACCCTCCCCTGCTTATGCTGTCTCTCTCTCTCTCAAAAATAAATAAAAACATTAAAACTTTTTTAAAAAGGTGTTACTAGGGGAGATCAAATCAGTACTTCTCAATTTGGAGACTCTGAAAATCACATGATTTCCCAAAGTTGAAAAAAAGCTATGGAAGTTTGTGTTAAGCATTTCTTTGTAGAGCACAATAATTCATCTACTCTCAGCTGCAGGGAAAATAAGTAAGAGGCTACAGTATGATGTTTGATGACTCCCACTAGCTCCCAGACTGATTTTGATGTTTTACCTCTATATATCCACAACACCTTTTGTATACCTCTATCACAAAAATGATAAAAATCTAATTTGGGGACAATACCTGAAACTGGATTTTTTTTTTAAATTTTAGGGAGAGAGAGAGAGAGCGAGCGAGCACAGGAGAGTGGGGCAGAGGAAGAGAGAGAATCGTAAGCAGCAGAGCCTCACATGGGGCTTGATCCCATGACTGCTGGATCTTGATCTGAGCAGAAATCAAGAGTTGGGGGGCACCTGGGTGGCTCAGTCGGTTAAGCGTCCGACTTCGGCTCAGGTCATGATCTCACGGTTCGTGGGTTCGAGCCCCGCGTCGGGCTCTGTGCTGCCAGCTAGCTCGGAGCCTGAAGCCTGTTTCAGATTCTGTGTCTCCCTCTCTCTCTGACCCTCCCCTTCGCACACTGTCTCTCTCTCTCTCTCAGAAATAAATTAAAAAAAAAAAAAGAAATTAAGAGTTGGACGCTCAAGTGACTGAGCCACCCAGGAGCCCTGAGAAACTAGATTTTTAAAAAGGCCCTCACCCAATCTGGTGTTCTCTCTAGTACCTGTTCTTAAATGTAAGGAAATGGAGTCTAGTCTCATAGAGAAAATTAATTCCAAAATCACATGTTAATTCTAACAAGAGGAACTCAGGGTTTCAATTTCTTGCTAACAGAAACAAATTACTTTCCTGCTAAAATTAGCAAAATAGTTTGGTCCATAAAAGGAAAGCTATCTATAAAATGAATGCTACAAAACAGAACCAAACAAGTTACTCTGTGGTTTGTTATCTTATTTGTAAAAAGGCCATGAGCTCATGCATGTCATATAGAACTAAAGGCAGGTTAAATTATGTTAAAGGATCCCTAGTTGTTTCACCTGACTCTCAGTTGAGATAGATAGTCTACGAAATTCCACCTGAAAAATAAATGGCTCCAATTAAATGCAGGATAGGAAACAAAACACATGATTCTAATAAAGAACAATTCCAAAAGAATGTTCTTAAACAGGACAATATCCCAGCTAATCTCCCAAGATATCCCAAGATGTCTTACCTGCTTTATCTCACTTTTTAACTGCATTATCCCAGTTCGTTCTGTTTTGGTTGCCCCAACAGCACCAATCTCGTGGATAGAAATAGCAGGGCTGACATTTGAATCAGTGGGACGAACTACATAGCATGACAGATTAAACAGAAAGAGAGAGGATAATCAGGTACAAATAATTTTCTCCACCATGCTTAAAAGACTTATATGTATGTCCTCCTTTTATGTTAATAATAATAATGAAAACAACCAACCCACTATAACTGTGCTATTCAAAATGTGGTCCACACACAACCAGCATCAGCATCACCAAGGAGCTTGTTAGTAGAATCTTGGGTCCCACTACAGGCCTACTGAATCAGTCTGTACTTTTGCAAGTTCCCCATGTGATCCTTATGCACAGTAAGACTTGAGAAGCAATGTTTTTATCACTTTCTTTTACTATTCTAAGGTCTAGTATCCATCCATCTGACATTATATGTTTATTTATCCTGGGCCTGAAAGTAGAACAGGAGAGATAGCATTTTTCATCTGCTCTGCTTTAGGTACTTGGTACCAAACAGTACTGCCAAACCGCCAAGTGCCAAGTGGAGGATTAATTTGTAATGAACCCTAAGATGTATGTGAATTCACAGGTGAAAGGATTTATCTGATATATCTGATACACACAGACACATTACTGCAAATGCTACTAAATTACTGCCAAATGGAATACAAGAAAGTTTCAAATGATACGGGTTGTCAGTTGTCCTAAAGTAGAGATTCAAGATAATGCGAAAGAACAGTGCAAAAACAAAACATGATGGTAATTCACTTAGTTGATTTGTCATTTAAGCAGAAAAAAAGAGACATATACAGTAGTTTCCAAATCTTGTTCCAGAAGACAGCTTTGCTTTTAACTGTTTAATATACTGGGGTTCTATTTAGCTGGGGGAAAGGTTACTCTGATAAAATAAAAACATTTTAAAATCAAATGAGACCAAGCTAATACTCTAATATGGAAATGCGGTTTTTCAATCTTACCACTTCGTTCCACTCCGAACTCCTTGCCACTGAGAATGTGATGCAGGAGGTTCTTCATGGCTGAAGGACTGAGATTCATCAGGCTGTCTGTGGCTTCCTCAGCTAGTCATCAGAAATGTTAGTACAAAGGACTATATAATTTGCCTGATATATCCACCCTATTTTTTCTCTATTTCCTTTATTTCTTAGAATTTCTGAGTTACTCGATTGATTGGAAAAATAGAATTACAAATAAATTTTTAGCACCATACTGTCCAGGTATTCGTAGTGCAATAGATTTTTTTTTGGGGGGGGAGGCTCTTAACCAGGCTCTAAGCTCAGTGTGGAGCCCAAGGTGGGGCTTGATCTCAGGACCATGATATACTGACCTGAGCTGAAATCAAGAGTCAGACACTTAACTGACCGAGCCATCCAGGTGTCCCGCATACTGCAATAGATTCTTTTTTTTTTTTTAATGCTTATTTATTTTTAAAGAGAGAGACAGAGAGACAGAGCATGAGGGTAAGGTGGGGCAGAGAGAGAGACACACACACAGAATCCAAAGCAGGCTCCAGGCTCTGAGCTGTCAGCACAGAGCTCGATGCAGGGCTTGAACTCAGAGATGCAAGATCATGATCTGAACCGAAGTTGGAAGCTTAGCCGAGGGAGCCACCCAGGTGCCCCTGCATAAATTCTTAATAATTTAAAGACTGATTATCCAGTTTATGGGTTAACCAGATTCTTAATCTCTTCTTCATCCTCTTTCCATACCATTAGGGTACTCAGTAGAATTTTTATTTGAAGAAAGAATGAAAGAAGAACTATGGAACTGAAAGCCAGTCAGAGAAAAGCAATGGATGTATACATGCAGACGGACTAAAGTAATAAAAACTTCTCAGTCTGGACGTCTAGAGACTAAAAAGGGAATAGATATGAATCCATGAAATCATGAAGAATAATGAGAAGACTAGAATTCTTTATCAATATCAGACAGTGCTCACTTTGGCAGCACATATATTAAAACTGGAACAATACAGAGAAGATTAGTGTTGCCCATGTGCAAGGATGACATGTAAATTTGTGAAGCATTCCATATTTTGGTGAAAGAACTGTACTTTGAAAACTGTAGCACATCAATGAAAGAAATTGAAGGCGACACAAAAAAATGGAAAGACATTCCATGTTCATGGATTGGAAGAACAAATATTGTTAAAATGTCTATACTGCCCAAAGCAATTTACACATTTAATGCAGTCCCTATCAAAATACCACCAGCATTTTACACAGAGCTAGAACAAATAATCTTAAAATTTGTAAGGAACCACAAGGACTCCAAACAGCCAAAGCAATCTGGAAAAGGAAAAACAAAGCATTACAATTCCAGAGGTCAAGGTATATTACAAAGCTGAAGTAATCAAGACAGTATGGTACTGGCACAAAAACAGGTACATAGATCAATAGAACAGAAAAGAAAATTCAGAAATGAACCTACAACTATATGGTCAACTAATCTTCAGCAAAGCAGGAAAGAATACCCAATGGGAAAAAGATAAGTTTCCTCAACAAATCGTGTTGGGAAAACTGGACAGCAATATGCGGAGGAATGACTCTGAACCACTTCCTTATACCAGAGACAAAAATAAATTCAAAATGGATGAATGACCTAAATGTGAGACCTGAAACCATAAAAATCCTACAAGATGGTACAGGCAGTAACCTCTTTGACACTGGCTGTAGCAACTTCTTTCTACATATGTTTCCTGAAGCAAGGGAAACAAAAGCAAAAATAAACTATTGGGACTACATCCAAATGAAAAGGTTCTGCACAGCCAAGAAACAATCACCAAACCTAAAAGGCAACCTACAGAATGGGAGAAGATATTTGGAAATAATATATGTGATAAAGGGTTAGTATCCAAAATATAAGAAGAACTTGTAAACTCATCCATCACCCAAAAAACAAATAATCCAGTTAAGAAATGGGCAGAACACGTGAATGGACATTTTTCCAAAAGACAACATACAGATGGCTAACAGACACATGAAAAGAGGCTCAATATCACTCCTCATCAGAGAAATACAAATCAACACTACAATGAGATATCACCTCACATCAGTCAGAATGGCTAAAATTAACAACACAGTAAACATCAGGTGTTGGCGAGGATGCAGATAAAGGGGAACCCTCTTACATTTTTGGTGAGAATGCAAACTGGTGCAGCCACTCTGGAAAACAGTAAAGAGGTCCCTCAAAAAGTTAAAAGTAGAGCTCCCTACGAATCAGAAATTGCACTAGGTATTTATCTAAAGGATACAAAAATGCTGATTTGAAGGGGCACATGCACCCTACAGTTTTTAGCAGCATTATCAACAATAGCCAAATTGTGGAAAGAGCTTAAATGTCCATCGACTGATGAATAAAGATGAGATGTATATATACAGTGGAATATTACTCAGACCAAGAAAAGAATGAAATCTTGAATCTTGCCATTTGCAATGACATGGATGGAGCTAGAGTATATTATGTTAAGCGAAATAAGTCAGTCAGAGAAAGACACACACCATATGATTTCACTCATATGTGGAACTTAAGAAAAAAACAGATGAACACAAGGGTAGCAAGAGAGGCAAATCAGAAAACAGACTCTTAACTATGGAGAACAAATGGAGGGTTGCTGGAGGGGAGTTGAGTGGGGGAATGGGGTTAAATGGATGATGGGCATTAAGGAGGGCACTTGTAATGATGAGAACCTGGTTTTGTATGGAAGTGTTCAATCACTTATTGTACATCTGAAACTAATATTACACTGTATGTTAACTAACTGGAACTTAAATAAAAACTTGAAAAAACTAAAAAAATATCAGACAGCTAGTGAGAGCTTATTACATGTGGGTCATGACTTTACACAATGTTATTAACAAACAAGTAGGACATGGTACTTGACCTTGAGAAGCTGAACAACTATTTGGGTGAGATCACACATGTAAACAAAATAAACGACAATAAACGTGGCTATACTAAGTGCCAAATGAGAGGTATAGACAATAAATGCTTTGGAAATCAGAGGAGACCTCAATCTCCAAGGATGGGAAAATACTGTTATGACAATAGTTTGGGCAGTAAACCATTATTTTTTATCTTAGACTCAATTATTTTTTATTAGGCAATTCTGGTCCAGGCAGATTAACTTTATTTATTTTTAATAGTTTATTGTCAAGTTGGTTTCCATATAACACCCAGTGCTCATCCCCACAAGTGCCCTCCTCCATGCCCATCACCCCCCTTCCCCTCCTCCCCACCCCAATCTGCCCTCAGTTTGTTCTCGGCATTCAAGAGTCTCTCATGGTTTGCCTCCCTCCCTCTCTCCCACTATTTCCCCCCTTCTTCTCCCCCATGGTCCTCCGTTAACTTCCTCCTAATCCACCTATATGTCCAAACATATGGTATCTGTCCTTCTCTTCCTGACATATTTCACTCAGCATAACACCCTCAAGTTCCATCCATGTTGCTACACAGGGCCAGATTTCATTCTTTCTCATTGCCATGTAGTGTTCCATTATATAGATAAACCACATCTTCTTGATCCATTCGTCTGTTGATGGACACTTAGTCTCTTTCCATGTTTTGGCTATTGTTGACAGTGCTGCTATGTGCCCCTATGCATCGGCACTCCTATATCCCTTAGGTCAATTCCTGGCAGTGCTATTGATGGGTCATAGGGGAGTTCTATTGTTAATTTTTTGAGGAATCTCCACACTGTTTTCCAGAGGGGCTGCACCAGTTTACATTCCCACAAACAGTGTAGGAGGGTGCCTGTTTCTCCACATCTTCGCCAGCATCTAGAGTCTCCTGATTTGCTCATTTTAGCCACTCTGACTGGCGTGAGGTGGTATCTCAGTGTGGTTTTGATTTGTATTTCCCTGATGAGGAGGGATGCTGAGCATCGTTTCATGTGTGATAATAATGACAATGATGATGATGATGATGATGATAACTGGAATTTTACAAGAGGAATGTCTCTAAATTTTAATAGCCAACACCAACAGTGACAACACTCTTTTAAAACATATTTCAGTATAAAATCCAAGGCCTCTGGTAGGCTGGTAACAGTATACCTCTTAAATTATAAATATAAATTCCCCAGTATTTCTGTCTTCAAGAAGTGGTGGTAAATCATTGAAATATCTTGCTTTGATTTTAGGTTGTGCTTTAGAGTTCATTAATTTCAGAACAATAAACAGCACCAGTGTTCTGAGAAAAAAAATTATTAGGAAATACTGTTGAAGTAGGAGGTATGGGTCAGACCCGGGGATCTTGACTTTATCTGTAAGGAATAAAGAGCCATGGTTTTGATGAAGCCATAGGGAAAAAATCCATAACAGGAAAAGAAAAGTGAAGAATGTTTGGGGATTTTTCCCTTCCTGAGGTTTATTATTAAATAATTAGATCTTAATAAAATATCCCTCGATACATGGCTAGAGAATATATGTATGTATATAATGTAATACATATAATCCACAACAATGTGCTGAATTGGAAATCATTTGGAATCAGAAAGATTTGGACTCAAAGTTGTGTAATTTTAGGGAAGATACTTAACTTCATTGAAATTCAGATGACTTTTTGGTAAAAGTGGAACAAAAATGCCTTCTCCAGAGGGTTGTTGTAAGGATCAAATGAGATAATGTGTATAAATGTAAATATAAAGCAAAAAGCACAGAGCCTGGCATATGGTAGGTATAAAATAATCACTGGTTCTTTTCCTTTAAAGGGTTATTTTAATATAAATTATCTTATTTAATTTAGGTTAGGCTCAAGTCAATAGATTTCACTATTTGGGGAAATCTAACAGAAACAATGGCTAAAATTGAGTTTTACAACTCTAATTTCATTTTTGTGTGCAGTCCCTATCTATTATTTTATCATTCTCATTGAAATCAAACAAATACTAATGGAAAAATAGTCATGCTATGGGGTTCCCTTTCTCTCCCTCACACTGTATATAATTCTGTGCTACAGCCTCTACATGCCCTAGGTTTTCTTCTAACTAAAACTGTTATCTTGCCAAATATAGCTATAGTTAATTAAGAGAGTCCTATCAGATAAATATTCATAGAAATACAGCTTTCCCTTATTCAACCCTGTTGTTGACTAGACAGAATACTAACATTATGATCAAACTGATATGGTGACTCAGTCTGGTTCGAGAAGCTGCACTGCCTGAGTCAGAATCAAACCCAGCCTGTCACACTCAAATTCGCTGCACATTTAGGCTCATTCTAGGAGTTAGAAGGAATGTAATTTGGAGTGCAGAGCCTCCAAAAGGTGGAATTTTGAAATTGCAGAACTAATACATAAATTTGTCATAATATCAGTCTCTTGATTTGTATGAATCCAGATCGACCAACATGGGAACAAGATTGCTATATACAGGTTCTGAGCTACTGATAAAATATTTTAGCTTTCTTTCCCTCTTGATCCAAAAATTCAATAGATCTATATTAAAAGTGAATTCTGCCCCCCCTCCTCAAAATAAGTACACTGACATAAAGTGAATTCTGTCAAAAATAGTTACTAAAGGCAAAAGGTGGAGTAGGTAGTAAGGTGGTAGCACCTGAGGTAGGATAGGAAGGCGGCTGAAATAAATCATAGGAGGGAATCCATGGAAGTGGAAAGTGAAGAGCTGGTCTGAAGCAAGGCAGAAGACTCTCAGGCCTCCAGAGGCTCTTGTGGGATCCCCAATTCCAGTATATGGATTTAGCTCAGAGGAGGGCCAAGATGGCGGAAAAGTAGGGAGCTCCGTACATTGTACTCATCCTCATTTCTCACACGGAAAAGATCTGAAGCCATAGGAAGCCTTACAGAACCCAAGAGATTGGGAGAAAAAGGACGCAGAATCCACTGAGAAAGACTTCTAACGTGAGTGCGAACTGGGGAAGATAAAATCGGGCCGGGATCGGACACTCCAAGGACGGGGGCGATCCCCCTCTGTGGGGAGTGAGAGGGGAAAAAGAGAGAGTCTGAAACAGCTCAAGACACGGTCCCTGTCGCTGGGAAACAGAAAAACCTCTGCTTGGGGCACAGAAGGACGGTGCGCAC